GGAGAGAGAGAGAGAGGGAGAGAGAGAGAGAAAGAGAGAGTGGAAGAAATAGAGAGAGAATCACAGGGAATATGTGTGTATAAGGAGGAGGGGTACAATTTCATTTAAAATATGGTAAGACTGGTGCTCAGACAATAAAGATCACACGCTGAAATGAAGTATACACCTATTGAAATAAACAAACAAAAAAGAATGTATAAAAACATGCTTGCTATTTTTCCGTGCATACATTTCTAATTAAACGCGTATTTTAGAGATTGTGAGAAAAGAATGATAGATTGACAACGGGAACCACTATCCAAATAGCTGATCAAGTTAAATGAAACAAAAGATTGATGCATGATCATATAAATACTTTTATATGCTGCCGTTTCTTAATATAGATCGTGATGCATCCAGGTGCATTTATAGGTACTTCAAGGACATCCTATCACTGCTGCTTTTTATTTTATTTCTTTTAAACAGAACAAGACGACCAAGCACGAAACAATTGCTTTTATCACGAGTATAAAGTCTATACCTAAGTTAAGCCAAGACAGAAAGGGGGGGGGGGGACAAGAACTACGTTTTGAGAAAACATTAACAAGCATGTGTAAAATATCAAAGACACCAACATTTCGGCACTCATGTGACCTTATTGTGTTGTAAGTGCCGCAAAACACTTACTAAAACTGACCACAAATTCAGAGGCCTGCACTTTGTTTGCAACCTTTCCGACAATACAAACTTACATTGTTCCTGTTCTCGATACTGCCCTGGCCTGAAACAGCGGTCAGTAAAACGAGAAAGTGCTAGAACAAAATAAACTGTAAAACAAATAAAATACCTGGACACAAGCAAACATTCCAATGTCAATGAAAGCTTCGCTCCCAATTTCAAAACACTTATTTGTTAACATATCAGCTGGTTCGTACAGTATACGTACATGTATAAACACGGTGATTACCACTAGCTATTGTTGTAAGTCCACTCCACAATGAAATCGTGTAATCCGGACGACGGGGGAGCTAAAGTAAAAGTCCAGCGATGCTTCCTCTAAAAAACAATAAACACACTTGGACATCAGAGGGTCCGAGACACTTGTTCTCACCCGTCTGACTCCGGCGTAGCCCAGCTGAGTGAAACCTACCTCTCGGAGAGTTTGAAGGATTTCACTGGAGAATTATCACAAGCCAACCCGTCGGCACTTCTCTTTGATCTCGCACGTAAAAAGGGTGTAGCCCGCGCTCTATCTTGTTCTCCTTTCAACCCGTGCGTGAGTGAGGTGAGTCCGCGTGCACGTATTCCCGACTGTTTTGACGCTTTCACCTTTTTAACACTATCGCCACGGAACGTCTTATATTTCCAGCATCTCGGTTAGAATTAACATCTTTATTGTCATCAGCCTTATCTTCATCGACGATGTGTTCATCTGATTGACAAGGTAATGATTCTTTACTCGCTACCTTTCCACCAATGAGAGAGCGACTAGGCCGTTCGCCGCCCTCCCTCCGCCCCTTGGTTGTTGAACTTGGCGCCGCGTCTGTTCACCGCCAGCGCTCGCTAACGTCTGCTGTCAGAAAGGGCGGGGAAATCCGGGGGAATCAGGCGTTATGCTTCCTGTTACTACGGCAACCGATTGATAGGAAAATATGACTAGGCAGGCTTGGGGAAGGTGTCAGAAATTGATTTCGTCTGACCCGCGGAACTGGCTCGCGTTTCCTAGCGGGGGATTACCCCATGCACTTGACTCTCCCCCCGTTCCAAAACGCCCCGATCGTAAGCCAGGCCGGCCTTGCCATTGACTTGACACATCCGAGAGGCCTAATTAATCTGCCGTCCGTCCTTCGAGAAAGTAAAGGAATTTCCGACACGTTCGATTGTTGAAGAATGAAGGAAGAAACTGCTAAAGTCTCGAACGCGTGGCGTGCGTTTCTTTCTAACTCTGAAAGGAATGTAAAACCATGATCAGTAGTTTTTCTTTCCCTCTTTCTTTTCTTTTTTTTTGCTCCTGTTTCTTCAAATTGTTCTTAATATTGTTAAATCCCCCCAACCAACTTTTTTTTTTACTTTTCAATTTTAGTCGTGCGTTCACGTTGTTGTCTTCTTTTGTTTTACCTTATACTCTTAAAACTATCATTGTTAACGTTCATCTGTCACATTTCTGATTTACTGATTTCTATTCTATCCTTTTCATAATGCAATTTTGTATTACTTGCATATTATGCCTTCTTTCGAGATGTCAAGAGTTCTCTTTTCTGGTTTTTTTCTTTATGATAACAATAATGATGATGATGATGATAATAATAATAACAATAATAATA